GGGCAGAAAAAAAATTGTATGTATTTACTACATATAAGTAGACTCCAAAATCGACTAAATAAGCCTTTGAAACCCCCAAATTGTTAAATTTTTCGGGGCCTTTTCCCCCTGGACCACTTTCGCACGTCCACATTGCTTTCGTCGGGGAATCCCCCCATCGGGACATCGGGCCCCCCCCCTCATCGGGCGCCACCCCTGAACTACTGAAACGATCGGTATCCCCAGACGAGAAGAAAAACAATTCATGGGGGGGTGCAGATAAAGTTAGGCCCTTGTATTTTTATGATAGAAGACACTAAAATCGATTAAAAAAGCCTTTGAAACCACTACATTTCGTAATTTCCGGGGTTTCAACCCTGAAACAATTCCAGAAACTTTGAGCGAGGCCCGGCCACGCCCACTTATGCTCTCGTTGCCCACCCCGTTGGAGACATCGTACCCCATCTGTCAAATCCTGCCGCTAACGGTCCCATTCAGAAATAAAATAAATTTACTTAGTTTTGTATTGATGCCCTTTACTGTCATGAACGGAAAAAAAAATGTTTGAAATAGGCCTGTACCACTAGTTGGCATTATTGCAAATTGCATAGTACCAGTGAATTCAGTGAGAAATGTTCACACACAAGTAGGTTCCCATGATCAGGAGAAGCGTGGCAGCAGCAGACACAAGGTCAGTCATATACAGTATTCTTATCCGCCAACTCAGGAATGTAGACGCACTAGTGTCTGATCTGATTCTTTGAACGCCGCCTTCAGGAATGTTAACGCCCTGCTGCTCCGCAAGGAGGAAATCGCCGACTGCCTTTTTCAGCGATACAAACAGCTGTTCAGCTGTATTTAGCGAAGTGTTGTTTTTTGTATGTTCACTTCTTACATGTCATTTTAATTCAGTCATTGATCATCATAATAAAACCTTTGTTTCTGTTGTGTGTTATAACAGTTGTTAAACTTTTTCTTCAAAGAAGTGCACACTCATTCTGAATAAATGGGTATGTTGTGGGCCTATCCACTGCAAGACTCTTAATTAAAAATCAACGTAACCGTGGGGATGTGTACTTCTACTGTTATTTTCTCAATGAATAAGGCATTTACAGTTAAAAGCCCTTGATTTTTTAGCAAAGTATTTCGTGTTTATGTTTATATGGTTGACAAAATCTTTGTAAAAATGGTGCAGTTTAGATGCTAGTCGGAAATTTGAGAGCCAGACAGGGCTGACCAGCGAGGCGAGAATCCTGTTATAGTTACAAATATTTAATTAACATTTTAACAGAATATTATGTTACAAAAAATCGAGACAACAACAAATATAACTCATTCTTTATTTCAAACAATACAGTTACAAATAATACTGGACATAAATGCAATCCCGCTATTTTATAATGGAATTTAAAATCATAGAAAAGAAAAAACAAATTTTGTGGATGCTAGAATGTTTACCTTCAAAAGATGCTGCCCCTTATCACGCATGTGGGAAACCAATAGCAACGATGCTCATACAGCCGACTGTACACAAACACATGTATTGCTGTATCGAGTACTTGGCGGTCGTACGTCTGTGGTTTTAGTCCCAAGCTACGAGGAGATAACACTCCACACCACCAAATTCCCAAAGAGTTCACTACACAAAACCATACACAGTATCGGCAGCCCAGGTTCGATCGTACATGACTATTTTTCTACATCTTTCACAGTCGATATGAGGCCTATCTTTGGTGTAATTTCTCAAAGATTTTAAAGAGGTTGCCACATCAGGACACACCCTATTTATTTTTGGTTGCCCGACGCAGATATTTGGTTGCCCCGGGACGTCGGGCAGGCGATTCTGCGAGCCCTGTTTGTTAGCCTTGACAATTGTTCGTGAATCATTAAAATATTTAGACCTACTTCTTTTAATGCTCCATAAATGATTATATTTATAATGCACGGTAGTTAAGTCGCAGGATTTTCCTAGGTGACAGCTACCAGAGCTAGCCCAGCATACTAGCAGCTAAACGTATTTAGGGAAAGCGATTCATTGTAGAATGCTGAAAACAAATGCTATATTGACTGCAGTGATGAAATAGAAACAATATAAATATAGGGTTAACGGTCCATAGAGAAATTACATGTAATTTTTTGAGGAATTATTCAATTATAATATAAATGTGCATATTATACACATTTTGTTACAAAAACAACTTTCTACAACCAGTGGTTGCGAATACATATATATTTAGTCAGGCGCTCAGAATAATACGAATTTGCTCCACCAGTACCGAATTCGATAAACATATAAACACTCTCATCCACAAATTAAGACTCAGCAATTTCTCCATGAAACTGATCAAACCATAATTATTAAGGCCTCGTCTAAATCACGCCAGCAACTCCTTGAATATAAAGCCAGGTCGAATTCTATTCGCATACACCTTGTCCTTGACTACAACCGCCGAATCCAATATCTCGCCAAAACTATCACTTAAGATTTTCGCATTCTTTCTGACTGCAATTCATCAAATTCAGAAGCACTCAAATCACCACCTCTCACAGCATACCGACAACTTCCTAACCTTAATTCACTACTAACTTCATCTAAACTTCCCACTATCACCCCTAAATTTGGTAATCACCCTTGTGGTAATTCTCGATGGCAAATTTGTAAGCTTCATATTACTGACGACACCATCAACATCCGCCACTTAACCATACACCCACTTGCAACGCCTCAAATGTCATATATCTCATTTGGTGTACCCAATGTATGGATATTATATACGTCGGGAAAACTGGTTGCAAATTTAGAATAAGATGCAGTAATCATAAAAAATCTATTAGAGACAATACACTAGGCTTTCCTGTAGCTAAGCATTTTAACCAAGCCAACCATTGTATCTCTAACCTTAAGTTCATTATAGTAAGTACAGGTTTTAATTCCCTCACCGACAGACGTTGCGAATTGAAATGGATCTTAAAATTAAATACTCACAAAAATGGCGTAAAGATTTAAGATTTCTCACAGATTACACTTTTTATTAATCAATGCATTCATCCATCTAGATACATTTTATTCATCCTTTATATACTATTTAACTTGTTATATTTCATTTTCATTGGCTCAGGCTAGTGAGATCATAGGCCTACATTTGGCTGATCAGCCCTTTTGTTTATCTTTATTTTCTTTATCTTTATTTTCTTTGTTGTTACCACCCTTTATAATCCGGCCTAATTATACATATCATTTACGATTTATCTTAGTCACTGCTATATTGTTTATCCCCTATTGCTAGTTTGTAAAGCTTTTTTATTCATATGTGTTATCGCTGAGGAAGAGCACAGGCGTGCTCGAAATATTCGAAATAAAAAATTATCTTATGTCTATTATGTCAACATATACAACTCTACTTTGTGCATTCGTACTCATTTTATACTATCAAGACATACGTGGAACCTACAAACATAATAGATATAGTATAGTATATTCAAGTAATAATACAATTGTTGTAATAATACTTTTCGACCATAAGTCATCATCAGGTATATATAATACAAATACTGCAAAGATAGGTCAAAGGTCAATAAAACAGTTTCTGGTTGATATTGAGAAATTATTATTATTATTTGTGTATATATAAATGTGCATATTGTAAATATTTTGTTTCAAAAAGCAACCCTATACGACCAGTGATTGCTAAGATATTAAAATCACGCAAAGCTGAGGTCAAAGGTCAAAAACGCAATTTCCGGTCATTAATAGAGAAAATTGTCCATTAAAGTAAATATAAATATACATATATTTTAAACAATTTGCTGCAAAAAGCAACTCTGTACGACCAGTGGTTTTCAAGATATAGCTCCCTATATTTCCACCTCTAATTTGCATATATTATGCTAATAAGGTCAAAAAATGTTATATAAATCCAACCATTATTATTATTATTAGTACCTTTATCCTTACATCCCTTCATCTTTATTAAAAGATTCAGTGTACACTATTCTGTGTGTGTCCCTTATTAAGTATGAAAACATTCAATGTTCGTGTTAGATGCTCGCTGAGTAGAACATTCTTTATTAGGCACCTTGTTTTAACTAATCAATTAAATTCATTGGTTTGTGTAAGCAAGAGCCCTACACTAATTATAGACTTTACTTATTAATTGAATACACTGGTTTGTACAAGTGAGACCCCTACCTAACTAGACTTAACTACTTATCAATTTAATACATTGGTTTGTACAAGCGAGATCCATACACTAACTAGACTTATAACTACTACAGTACTGTAATCAATTTAATACATTTTACTGAACAATACCCCTAGCCTAACATAACTTAACTTCTAATCAATTTAATACATTGGTTTGTACAAGCGAGAAAAATCTACCACAAACTTAAAAAGAACCGCAAATGTCAAAATAACCGCAAATGTCATAACATGTCATCCACAAATGTAAAAGTCTGTTTTCATCACAAATGTAGTAACATTTCACCTACAAATGTAAACATTTCCATTTTACCTCAAATGTCATAACATGTCAACTGCATATGTAAAAATGTTCGTAAGCACTTAAATCCTTAAAATATTGAATGACCCTAATTAACTGCTATAGGTAGAGCAGCTAAAGCATCAATTTTAGTAGCTAAGGCCCAAGCTGTGCACTTAATTACCAAAGCATGCAACTTGGCACAAAATATCTTTCATATGTTTAGATTTTAAAACAAAAGTTGTTTGCCAAGAGTTTCTGAC